TATTGTCCAGACTTGCAAATATAAAAGTGAAATATAAACTTTGACAAGTTGTACTTATGCGACTCTTTATGAATATTCTGTCAAACTATATGTATGAACACACACGGTTTTATCTATTTTTTTCTTGAATAGTCTTATATATACATAGAAGAACAAATTCTGTAAGTGAAAATGTTAACTTAAATTTACATACAGTCTTAATTTTTATTCATGTTTAAGTTCTTTTCTTGATAAAACAGAAAAACAAAAAGTATATTCATGTTTTATATATAAGTCACATATAATTTTTTTACTGCTTAAAGAGAAAAAGAGAGACAGAGAGAGAGAAATAAAATATTATGTTATGTTATATAAAACTATTATGTAAGTAAAATAGTAACATTGCAGAGAAAGCATTGACGCAATTTACGATCTATATTTTTAAGGATATCGAAAATATTTTATAAACACGAAAAAGCAAACTCTATAGAGAATAAGGCGCAAAATAATACAAGAAAAACAGCGGATTTTATTTACTACAATATATTATGCATAAAGAAGGAGATGCAAATTCTTTTCCGTGTAGTATATATGTATCGTAATCGTGGGCAAATGATTCAATCATAATTCTGCAATAAACTCTCATTGTCAGTTGTAAACATGCGAGGAAGAAAATCTGCATTTTTGGTCATTATGCAGACATTATTTGTTCTTTAAAAAAAAAAACGCGAAATGGTATATAATATTCGATAAATAACGAGACAGATTGGTATTATTCAAGAATTTTTTTGTTCTTAAAAAAAAAAAAAAAAAAAGAAACTGTCAAAAGGATCAGCTGAGAAGAATCCCCATGGAAAATCATAAGAAGCCGTGTAAAATAAAAACGAAGAATTTGAATGCTATTTTCTCTCAGAACAATTCTTGAAAATAATCTTTCCAAAAGTAATTTTTTAGAATTATATATATAAACATATATTCGAAATTATATTATGTTTTCCTTTTTTTATTATATCCGCTTATTTGCTTAAATTTTCTTAAAAGCATTGAAATTACGATAAAAAGTGATAAAAATTTTATCAAGGCATTTTTAACATCATTGAAATTGGACGATGAGCGTTACGTAAGTGTTATGACAAATGCACGAGAGCGACATTCCAAGTGGAGGAGTTATGATATTACGACATCGGCACTTCAAGTTCGTTGAAACAAATTGAAATCGATTATTTGACCTTTCCGAAGCTGACAGTCGCGGGCCAAAAGTATCACATAATAAATCTCTTTCATTTCCTAATTAGTAATTGGGTTGACGCAAGAATACTTTCTATATATATTATCTTTCGGGAGCAAATAAAAACATCAACATATTCCATCAACATATTAAAAAACGAGAGATTAATTAATCTCCACGTCATGTATCTTTTAATGTTACCATTCTTCTATCAATTAAATCATAAGTCTAGAGACGCGGATGTTTAAATAAAAAAAAGGTCTCTCTGGAAGAAGAGAATATTTGTTGTACCATAAGAAAGAAGTGTTTTCGTAAAATATGATAAAATTGATAACCACGTCTTACTGAATTGATATGATCAATAAATAATTCAACATTAAAAATGTAAACTTAAGACGCAAAATTAAACATGCACTTATATGCATATATGCAATGCACGAAGAAATATGAGACTCACATTAATAATTTAGAATCTGCTTCTATCTGATGAATATTTGATTAATGATTTTTCTCGTAGCTTCCAGACATTTTACATACTTTAGATATTTCTAGTAAAACTTTAAAACAATCGCGATATTGTATATAAATATAGTAGTTACGAAAATAAAATCTATTAATTCATACTTCAAAGGAAGTCATAATCTTCGCAATTATTCTATGCAACAAAATATCTAATATGCAACAAAGTATCAAGAGATTCTATCAAATTACTTCGAGCATCTCGAATCACACATATAAACTTTCGATCTCGACACGTGCGATCAAGGAAAGGTCAGAATTTTTAATACTAATTATGTATTAATATTATATTATCAGATCTAATTGGTGAATATAACTTGCCGGCTATTCGACTTGGATTCGTCCGGATAGACTCGCATTATGGTTTCAATATTACAAGAATATTTCGCAGCAGCGGTGAAGTCGTGGCAATGGTGTCACGGGTAAAGTCACAGACGTCGTAATGCCAGACTTTCTACAGACGATGGCCAAGACCGAAAGGCGGGACGTGCTTCGCATAAAATTGCGCCGCGAATCTTTCCAAATTCACTCATCCAAGTGCTACTTTGCTCATCGCTGCGCATACAATCGTAATTGCATCCGCTAGATTATTTTAAATAGTAAAGCTGCGAAATACATATACACACACATACACAATAAGTATATTAGTTTTAATATTTTCATCCAATACAATATTTTCACATTCCCTGTTCTATTATTTCCTGCTTTAATCATTTTACTCTCTCGCTCTTGTATAACAAATATATATTTAAATAATTAATATATTTTTAGATGCTAAAATATGTGATATTTTTAGTTAATAAATGTATAGTCCAAGAATTACAGATATCAAATTGTTGAACAAGAATCTGCTACAAATTAGTTGAATCATCGGGAAATGACGCGGTAGAGAAATATAAATAATATTAAAAAATATAATTAATAAGAAATCTTTTAATAACAATATATCTCTCGTAATCATCTAGTGTAGCAATTTATAATGTTTTCGATATAAATAAGAGTCGCAAATTCTATGATCGCATAAGATTAATTGGATTTGAAAAAAAATCGATAAAAACTTAATAATATATTATAATTCATAATTACAGTTTGTTTTTTATCATTTCTTTTATGTTTATATTATTAAAAAGAATAACATAATCTAAATGTAACATAATATAAATGAAACATCTCTTGCACGAAATAAAAATCCAAATTGATAAATTTATATCATTTTGAAATTTTTGTTAACTCGTTTCAAAAAGAGAAGATTTTAAGGAAAAAAAAAAAAAATTGTTTACTATTGCAAATATAATACTTTTAAGAGATAAGTACAAAGATATCGATTTTTAGCACGAAAACGTATGACTCATTTGTATATATGCAGATAATACGGTCACGCTATGTTACGTGAAACCATTTACACTTCAAGTTTAATCTGCTTTTATATTATTCTTCCAGATAAATCTGAAATATTATCTGGACTATTTAGTTTGTTTGTATACACATTTGGCATCGTTAATAATATTGTTTGTTAGAAAAAACTAATATATATTTATAATTTTAGTAAGAGTGTAATATGTATATCGCATATTTTTCTCGGCTATTTAAACAATTTTTAATATTAAATTTATTACAAATAAATGTTAAATATAATTCTGAGTCATGAATATCTATCTATACATGATGCATTCAACCCGGAAATGCCTAAAGCGGAACTTGAAGAAGGCATTAATTAATTCGAATGTGTAATTACAAAGTTATATAGGTGCGTATCTAATGTTTCTCGGCGCGTGTACTCACGCGAACTATTGCGTACTTTTATCATTGCTTTTTGCAATCCATATAATTTTGCAAAGTTACAAGTTGCAAAGTTTATTTTCCGAAAAGATATCACGAACATATACATGTTTTGATACTTAAACTTGAATCTTGATGTTTTATAAGTTTAAAATATTGACCAGGTTTATCACGGGTATATGAGAAATTCCAGAGGAGCCGGACGTGTTCTTGAATTCGCTACAAGTCGTGTCGTTCATTTCCGGTAGCGCCGTGTAATTCGGGAAATTCTGAATATCTGCCGGCTTGAAACAAAAAATTAAGAAAAATATATAAATTTTTTTTAAAAAAAATATATATATATATATATATATATATATATATATATATATATATCGAAGAGCTTTGCGTAGAACATATATAACGGAGCACATTTTTTGCTCGACGAGAAAGCATGATGTGACTCTTATACAATAGCAATAGCATATTTGTATCAAAATGGAGCGCTTGGTGATAGAAGAGTCTCGCATTCTGTCGATTATCAAATGACAAAGCGACTTTTCATATATAGATTGTGATGTGGAAAAGTCTCGTTAAATCCACCATACATGGCCGGGATTATGTTGCAACGATCAAGCACGATTTCATTAGCTCGTTCGTCCACATTGCTCAAAAATTGACTAATCACACGCGCAGTCAACCGTCCGTATAAAGGAATAAAAACTATTATATTAGAGGCTAATATCTGCTACTGCACTAATCTGTAGATAGGATACAATATTTTCAATGCAATGGAATGTGTGATACCGGATGTCGTTTTTCGTATATGAAAAAAAAAAAAAACAAATGAAACGGTAAATAGGGTAAATATTTGATATATAGGGCCGACCTCACGAAATTTTTTGAAACTTATATATTTTATATATTTTGAGACATAGAAAACGAATCCGTTGAAAAAAATTGTCGTTCTTATTCCATTTCTTATTTTTATATTCCTGATTAAACATAATAATTTTATGCATGCAATATTGACGCCGAGTACATTGTTTGATTGATATACAAGAAAATAAGCTTTTTTGTTATGATGTTATTTATTGTATATTTTTGCTGTATATTGTTTATAAGAATTAAACGCGTGGGCGGGGGAGGGGCGAAGCCCCCCCTGCACCCCCGCCAAAAAAATTCTAACCTAACCCAAATCGAACTTTAATTTGAAAAGTGGAAATAGGTTTGGATTAGATTAGAATTTTTTTGGTGAAAAGGTGCAGGGGGAGAGGCGGAGCCCCTCCTTCGCTCACGCGTATACTTTTCGCTTCCATAAAACAATATTTAAAATAAACACATTAACACATTAACAAAAGAGAATTATTATCCCCACATCGTCCTATTTTATCAATATGAAAAAACAGAGGAACAAGAGCAACAATTTTTTTAAATATGTGAAATTGAAAAAAATTTTGTGAGATGGCCCCTATATCGAAGATTTATCAAGTAAGGAATTAGAGAAACTACATACCTGGCAGGATCAGCGTTCGACATATCCCCGTAATTCATTCTGTCGATTTTGTCTTGATCGTTGACGATGTACTCACGAGTGCACGCGCACCTAGCGAATGCTCTCACCGAGAGAAGAAAGGAAAACGCTGAGAAAAGAGACGGTAGATCGTAAGACCAAGAGAGACGATGTTCCTTCGGCTCACCGCTCCTTTATATCTTCGCGCGAGAGATGCACGCTGTGGAATGCAAGACTGATAAAACGATGCAGCGTCGTACGATGCGTTACGACGAAACTAAGACGACGAAGTTAAGAAGAGCGGGGTGGTGCACGCTTATACGGAGCATCGCGGAGCGGAAACTGGCAAGGATTGCAGATTGCAGCGGCGCGTATCTCTCCCTCTCTCTCTCACACACTCCTTATTCCCTTCTCTCTTGAATCAGGCGTGTTCACGCGCGTCCGACGAACTCCGACCGTCGCGATCACGGATCTTTATCGCACGCCACGTGTATTGACGCGTTAATAAACGCGCGCGGGTGGGATGGACGATATCGCGATGCACAGAAAACACACTACGGACACCGGTCGAGAGCGAGACGGATCACGCAGCCAGGCAGTGACAACGGCAGAACGGCACGAGAAGCGGCACCGCGCCGCTCCGCGCTGCCAGCTGGTCGTTCCCCCCACCACGCGCCCGAGTCGGACCACAATCCGCGAACGCGATTGGCTGCCGTGGACCACGCGAGCACCTCGTTTCCTCTCTGTCGGCATCGACGCGGCCTCTTCTTCCTATATTCCGCGTATATAGTTTGATTCATCAGACACATTCGCACGGTCACACCATCGGAAAATAGATCTGCACTGGACCGGCAAGACGATATATGTATAATTGAGATATCAAGAGACATGATAGTGGCTCGCGTTAAATTAAGCGTGAACTGTGTATAGATTCTACTATAACATATATCTCTGAAAAAATATCAGTGTATGATTTTTTATAACACGCGATGACTCCTTTTATCTATAGATTAAAGTTTTTAATCGAGATATATATGCACTTTAATTGGCCGTTTATAAATATTTTTGTTTTAAATTTCATTATCGAAATATATATACTTTTTTAATATATCATGAATTCTACTTTTTCTAAATATCCAATTTAAAATCATGCATTTCCACGAAAAGACACATTTTATTATATAAACACTGAATATATTCAGATGTCAATAGGTAAAACAATCTTATAATTTTTTTTTTTTTTTTTATTTGATCGTTTTTAGATACATGGTTTAATAGGTAAAAAAATTTTTTAATTTTTTTTTTTTTTTTTTTTTATAGACGTGTGTCGATGATGTCAATGGTTTTACCTGAATATATATTTATTCGTATGATATATATTATATATATATCACATGCATAGGACGTCATTTTCTGACATTTTTTTTTGGTTTGACGGCAAAAAATAAAACATCATATATATAGTATTTAATATATTATAATAACATATATTAATGTAATATATAGGTAAATTTAAATAATTTAATTTACAAAAATAAAGATTTTATTTATATGAAAATTATAATTTCTATAGCGAACGATTTTTACTTATTCGGAATATTATACAAAAATTTATATAAAATTAATATTTTAAAATATTGATTTAATGTTTCTTACTTACTGGGTTCGTATATGATAGATTAAACACTTTGAAAAACTTCTTTAATCTTCAATTTTGGCATATATTCCTTGTTTTGTTATAAAATAAAAATAAATCATACAACGAAAATGTAAAAGTATAGACATCTATGGAAGAAAATGCGAAACGAATCATAAGAGACTAATAATAAAAGATAGGATAAGGAGAAGTAAAAATAAGATAAAAACAGATTCCTACATTTTTGACGAAGGATAAAATAACGTCAGAGATGCTTCTGATGTTAATTTACAATTCAACAGAAAAATGCAAAAAAATTTAATATTTTAAATGTTTAACAATAATTTATTTGCAGTGGGCAAATAAATATCAAGCAAATGATATTTATTTGTTACATATAATGATTTGATGAATTTTATTTCTATTAAATAATAATGAAAATATAGTGATAACAATAAAAATAAAAGTTTATAGAAGGATCAGTCTTATTGTATAATAAAATCGTCAAATATCATTAAGACACTGATACTATCTTTAATCCTCGAACGACAAATCAATTAACAATATTTATGAGTCATATTAAAATTTCCCAGAGCTGAAATTTAGATTTTATGTGTTTCTTCAAGATATGATATACTATATAATGAATTAAATAAAACTTGAGAAAACAGGAAATGTATATTTATTTTCTTTTATCACTTTCGATGATATCCATCAGGTGAGGATTAAGATGGTACTATAGTATAATGAAATGACAATGAGGATATTGAACAGTATTATACATTATAAAATGGCAATCTAGAAAATTTGGAACATTATGTGGCCATAAAAATATATACATGTTGCGATACAAACTTGATACAATATTATCAATTTACAACGTATATTTTGTTTAAGTATTGTAACTTATATATTTACATAATTTATATATGTATATATATGTATATATTTACAATTTATATTTTTAATAGGAACTCTAACTCAACCTATTAATCATTCAATTCCCTTTGGATTTGATCCAGTGTCTTGCCCTTAGTTTCTGGGACCAAGAAATAAACGAATGCAATACCAATAGCGCAGAATAAAGAGAATATCCAGAAAGTACCATAAGATTGTAGAGCGTCAACCATGTCATTATAAAACTTGGTGACTAAAAAAGCTGCAAGCCAGTTGAATAGGCAGGCGCTGCTTCCAGCAATTCCCTTCACTTCTGGCGCGAAGATTTCTGGCATCATCATCCATGGAATCGGGCCAAAGCCGAAGGAGAACATTATAAGAAAAACGCATAGTGGAATAAGCGCAAACCATTTAAGATTGTCAAAGGCAGTATTATGAGTGATACAATAAAAGTAAATTCCAAGAATGAAAGTCATTAAAAACATAACCACGATCGACGTCAGCAGTAATATCCTTCTGCCCAATTTATCAACGACTAATGTGCTCAAGAAAACCGATATTACTTGTACCGCCCCCACAATAATAGATGCATTAGCGGGCGGTAGAGAACTTCCAGCTTTGGTGAAGATATCCGAGGAGTAAAAAATGATGGAGTTTACACCACTCATTTGTTGGAAGAGCATTAATCCATAAGCGATTACGAGGCCCTTTTTGACAGCCCGTGATTTAATCATGACAGCAAATGACACGCCGCTTTGATTGGTCTTCTCAAGTGCCTCGCGATGCTCCTGCAATTCGACCTCGACGTCATACTGATCACCGCGAAGTCTGGACAAGCTTTTTCTGGCAGCTTCCTCGTTTCCTTTCTTTAAGTAGTATACTGGAGTCTCTGGCATGAAGAAGAATACTGCGAAGAAGATTAGTGGCACAATCCCCGAAATGATTGACAGTGTTATCATGTTTTCCAGAACGGCCCCAAGAATGTACGAGAGCAGAATACCTACAGTAAGCATCAATTGAAAATAAGAACCAAGCATACCACGGATCTCGCTCTCGGCTATCTCTGATGTATATAAAGGGGCAGCCACGCAGAAGGCCCCACCGCTGACACCAGTAATGAATCTACCAAAGTAGAACATGAGGATCGAATTCGAGAAGATGATAAGCAGCCAACCAATAGTGAAAGGGACCACCATGAGTAGCATAGCAGTCTTTCTGCCAATCAGATCTGTCAGTATACCAATGGGAATACATATCGCGCCTGCTCCGAGAGTGGTGAGCGATCCTATCCAGGAGAATTGGCTTGGGCTAATGGATATGTTGTAGTCCTGCGCCAGATTCTTGCCATTCTCACCAGCAGGCGATGTCCAACCCAGTACCATACCAGCAGCGAGAGCACCAAGCGTTGCTGCTATGCCTGCCAGGTATTGTGGCAATTTCTTAGCTTTTTGGCCATTAGTGGAAACCAAAGTTTGTTGCGAGATACCGATCTTCTCAGACATGTTGGCTTGACCACCCTCTGACAGAAGTGGTGCGGTTTCGTCAGTCTAGAGAAAAACATTAATAATTTTTTTAAAATAAATTCTATTATATTTCATTAATGAAATCATATAACACATTATATTTCTGCTTATAAATTTATTTTTCAATACAACGTGCATAAATTCTTTAATAGTTTTGAACATGCAACTATTTCAAAGAATATTTTTCTCATGAATCTTGAATGAAAAATTTCCATCTTTAAACCATATTATAGATGAAATATTCCTCCTACAAATAGTATAATTTGTATCTGAAAAAAATGGCAGATCCTTATTTATATATAAAAATGACATGAAAGAATATTGTTGTTCAAAACTATCTTATATATAAAAACTTCGCCTTTTTTTTTCTACTTTCTTGTAACTATTATCTATACATATATACATATTTCTTGCAATAATTTTTATCTTCTTCATTTATGATTTGAAATTAAAATTGTGATAATATATAATATAATGTGTGAAAGTGGAATTATATTTAAAAGATTTATTATATTATCGTCGAGCGAATTTTATTATATGATTATTATCATGTCGGGAACAAAGATATTCATCGGAAAAACAAGGCATTGAAAAATAATGATATTGAAGGAACATATCGTAATGTTTTGAATTACATACATTGCATGTTGATGCCGCATTTTCGGCATCCCATATATAATTCGTCGCCATTTTGCGATAGAAGTCTGTAATTTTATTCTACTCCGATAAATTCAAGGGAAATGCAGCAGAGTTCAATTTATCGACAATTCAATTGACGTATCGTGATGTCATGTGATCATCCGTCAATCAGCTGATATATACAGATATACACACGTCCATTATCCATTGTTTTGTTGTCTATGCAGGCGTGGCATCTTGGACAACACGCAACATAGAAACACAACGCGACATGAAAAAAATACTCGCGCCTGTCATCTACCGACCAAAGCTAGAAATTAATTTTACACCGCAGAAAAATATCAAGATGAGGAGGCCTATTACGGTTTTTTAAACAAAGTGAAAATTACAAAAGTGAGGAAATTCACTAGAGTATCTACAATTTCATTTATCGAAATCTAGTAAATCTATTTACTTTAGTAATTTTCACCTCGTTTCAAGAACCGTAATAGGCCCCGAGAGAGCTTCTAGTAAGAAACACAATGTCACAAGATTGTCGAATAGAAAAACTTCAAAAATTTTCTATTGGATAACTAATTGCATGGCATTGTGTCTACCTGTGCTTTTTTGCTAAAAAACTTCCGAGAATACTAATCATGAAATTTTTTGTTCTATATATTCTTCAATTTTTTATGAAAAATTTTGCTTTTCATATTAAAAGCAACAAAAGTTAAAAAGCGATAATATATACTTTGTACAAATATAATAGTTGCATATATAAATAAATTGTATTTATTTTTAATAGATACATTTACTTAAAACATGAATCATCGATAACGTCTATTTCTGTTTTGTCGCATTTATATTATTGAAATTTATTATATTTTTAATTTTTATTTATTTTTTTTCGCATATAAATATATTAGCACAGTTAAATATACTTGGGGTATATTTTCTATTCTGCATGCGAATTATTTCCATGTCTTGGTTAACAGATACATTTAGCTTTATGCTGGCATTGATGATGAATTTGAAATTTGCGCTTATACCATATAATGAATTCAATTCTTTTCTCTTATAGAAAATATACTATCTTATGTATAGCTACACGCATACATATACGAGAAATTTTATAATCAGTTTTATATCAATATATAAATTCTTGAATTCAAGAACGTATAATACGTCACATCTGTACAATAATATAACACAAATCATATTATTGGGATCTTTCTAGTTCAAGAGATATGTGGTTATTTTATTGTTAGTTGTATATCAAAGATATCGCGAGATACGCGTGTATCGCATCTTATCTTGCGAAATTCATATGATTTTACATCACTGATCGTTGTTAGATAACATTTGAAACATTTACAATCTTGAATGTTTGCATGTTTGAATTGTAGTATTTAACAAGCATTAAATAATATAAATAATTTTTACGATACTAGATCATTTTGCTTTAAACATTAATATGTAAATTTTTACAAATAGATGAACATTTAGCGCATGTTGTTGACACACATTATATATACTTATTATTGTGTATTATTTATTTAAAAAGTTTATTACGAATATGTATTTATTTGTGAGAGATTTGTTCATTAATTTATTACAAGTTTTTTTATATTTTCGCTTTTCGGCCATTCATTATATGATCGCGTAAAAATCAAAGAAACAATTTTAGCAATACATCATTTATTGCATACGTAAAATTATGATGTATAACCGAAATAGCAAAAGATTACTCTCTGTAAATATATTACAATATTAAAAACTATTTCATTATGTGTGATGTTTCGAAAAAAAATTGTTTAGATAAAAGTTGATAATAGAGATACTATAAAACGCGCAAAGGATTATGTATATAATTGCTTTCCACTCCACTGCTAGAAAACTGCAAATTCTTATTCATCGTTCTGATTCATGAATAATTATTTTATATTAATATTTAGATAGAGAATATTAACAACTATATAGTAGCAGTTTTATTTTTTTGCTTTGCTTTAGCTTTCGATGAAATGCTAATTTTTTTATTGCATCATATATTTTTATAAATATAATAATATCGTAAAGTTGTTTTTTTTTCGTAAAGTTTATGGAATGGATGGCGAAATGCCATTGTGTAAAAACTCGTTTGATTACATATACGGAAGTTACCGCGAAAGAATTTAACATTGCATTTTAAATATAACGAGCGACAAGAACAAGACGTAGATACCCAGACAGCACAAAACGTCCTCAGGATCATCCTGAATATGTCCAGGATGGTTCAGGATATTTGTAGGAAGTTTTAAGATATTATTATAAATATATTTTATGAAAATTTAATATGCATACATGATTACTTTCGGTTATGTAGGCTATTTAATATAATTTAGAAATTTTAAGTATTGTAATAAGTATTAATGTCCTATAAATGTTCCCTGGATAACCTGTGAATGTATGTCCTGGATGCCCTTTGGACGTCCTAAGGACATCCTTGTGCTGTCTGGGTATAATTCTTGTAATACGGTTCTTTTTGATAATAATGCGAATTACATAAATCGTGTTTGACGCAATCGTTTTTAGTACATATTATTATTTTTATATAGTACATTACATGCAATTTATATATGCATGCATAAATATTAGTTTGTTAAAGATTTGAAAAAAATTATCTACACAAAAAATTATTCGTGAAATTAAATAAAAATTGAATCAGCGCACAACGTGTGTGATATTTCATTATTTAGTGTTATCAACGAAGATATTATTCTTAATAGCCTATTTACAATGTGATTTTAATAACATATAAATTTATTGCAATTTTACTTTTATATCTGTAGAATATTAGTTATTTCTTTATGCATAGCTCATATATCATTTTGTTATCTGGGATTGTGAACCTTCACCTTTGCAATGTAGCACTATTAGTCTTCATCAAACTCCATATTTTCTTTTTTATTACTGCAAACTCGCTTTCTAAGCTTTCTGATATTACAATTCTGTAAGCCATTAAATGAACGATCGATATATTATAGTTGAATATATCATCTGATTTGTGTGACACACAATTTCTTTATAATTCAAATGTAAATATACACATTTTTTTATTCTCTTCTTATTTATGTGTCTTATAGTTTAAGTAATATTATAAGAATCTACTTTTCTGAAAATAAATTTAATTCTAAATTATAATGGAATTTTTCGTAGTTATTTATTATTTTATCGCGATAAACGTGCTATGTCAATATTTTCCTACGATACTATGCTTTTTAAATTTATCGCGTGAAGATATGAAATTGATGGGAATATTTGTTTCTTTCGACTCTGTATTTTTTCTTATCTGATATCTGTGGAAACTAAATAAATATTTTCATAAAAGTCGAGCCTCCTCGATTTGAATGAGACAATCTTCCGCTATTATTTTGTCCTATCTTCGCGAGATTCATTTTAAGGCAGAAAAGTCTAACATAAATATTTGCATATTTTATAAATAGTTATGATATATATTATAAATAAAATATGAATATTCATAATATGTTTTTATTACGATATTATTAATATTACGATATATTAAATATGAACATTATCGTTATTTATGTATCGTTATTTCGTAATGTTATCGTGTGATATATCGTAGACATATCAATAGAATATAGGCAATGTGGCATATAACGTCGACAAAAAGTACCAACTTTAAAATGTCTATGAGATTAAACGCGAATCTGAAAGTATTAACAAACTTTATTGCCATTATTTCTCACTTGATCAATACAATAAAGTTATATGAATTGATCGTAAAAGAAAACAAATTTTTATATTTGCGAGAAATATATTTTTCATATACATATATTTCAATGAGACGAGTTTGTATGATCAAATATTTGCGTTTTCATTTTTAAAATATTGTAATCAATTTTTCGACTTTTGAACCGTCGTGTCATAATAGATAACACATGCATCACTTCAAAAGTTTAAGCAAACAGGATGCATGATAATCGAAATTTGTTATATATCATATATTATGTTATCATGCATCCCGTTTGCTTAAATTTTTACTTTATATGTTTATATATATATATACTTTTATGAAAATATTTACCTAGTTTCTAGATATCAGATAACAAGAAGAAAAGAATTGAAAAAAGCAAAGACTATATATATATCCTTTTATATTAATTCCAAGTGAGAAATCTTGAGGGACTGATGTGTAAGATTTACGAGAGAAATTTACAGGTTAATTTGCTTACAAGTAAATTTTGACGAAATTTAAGTATCTGTTAAACTGCGATTACGTATTCGTTATTGTGCACTTGTCTTGCTAAATGCATAATAATATGTAATCTTACCATGGGGAGATAGATCGTTCGTAATGTATATAAATTTTTTTATAACAAATACTATTTTTAAAATATGTGAGCTGCTGCGAAAAAAATATTAAGTGTAAATTATGGTATTAATGCGCGTTTTAGTTATAAATAATATTATGTAATTGAAATATGTATATATAACTTTTTTTAAATTTCGTTTTTATATTAATAATTATATACAGACATTCATAAATCCATGAGTAAGTGTGATATATAAGGCTCTAACATTAATTAAATATATGAGCGACAATAATGAATAAACAAAAAATAGTAGGACAGCCGTTTAACAAAAATAATTTATACGTAGCAAATTTTTTTATAATGTATGATTATCGTTTCGAAAATTTTTATTATAATATTGTTTCTAATTATATTTTATTGATAAAATATATTAATTATTCGCAGCTATCAAAGCCTGTCAAAGGTTTAATTAAGAAAAAAACAACATCTTTTATTTTGAATAGCACATCCGTATTTCAATGTTAAAGCTCATCAATCGCGCAAATATGATTTATGTAACGATATACAGTTTCTTATGTAAGTGGCAACACATATATGTTAGGTCCCATCCATAATTTTTGTTTTGTTGTATTTTTCCGTCTGTCGAAACGGCTACCGGCGACGGGAGCTCGCGTCACGCGAAAAATGCAGAATCGCATGTCGAAATAATGCCTGGCGAAATCACAAGTAATTAAACAAACGTAACAGTTAGACCGGTAGTGAGCGGCTAATTTTCCCCTTATCTCGTATACTTCATGACCGCGATAACGTTTAAATCAAAAGCACTCGATACGAATACGAAATCTTACTCGTGTAAATATTATCCGTCAAATTACAAAATTCCGAAGATTTATTAAGTCATTCTGTTATATATTTTCATATATTTAGTTATCAAGAGACATATTAACCATCGTCGTTCTATTTCTTATGCATTGATATATCTCATTCATTTTGAATAAAAAATGTCAGATATACCACACAACATAGATGAATATATAAATTAAAGTTTAACATATGAATATATTCATCTCTACTTGTGCGATATGCCGATTTTTAATGAGATAAGGTTCATGAACATTAAAAATGGCGCACAAAAAAAAACATTGACGCGGGCAATTGCGTTGAGCTTGCAGAATAGAAAAAAGGCGCGATTAAGAAGTATGTATTTGATAATGCAATAACGTTATATCTTAAATTTTATTTTACAGTTAGAGTACCACGACGAAGACGGAATGTGCGCTAAACTCGTTTCAACATGCGTATTTTTTTATAAAAATGCATGAAATTACATCGTGTGACTATACTTCTATTGTTAAATATTATTAACGTGCTATTTGTCATAAACTTTTTTGCGCACAATGCCATTCATATTATAATAATCATGTTTTTTCGAAAAAATCCACAAGAGAGAAACCTGCGGCTCTCTAATATATTATTTTATTTTTATATCTTATTTTTTATTTTTAAACTTGAAAGAGATCTAACAAAAAATATGCAAATAAACACATATTAATCAAGATATGTCAGGGTCAAATTTGCGACATATATTTCGAGTTTGCAAAATAAAATTTAAATGTCAATTAAGGATATCGATGATGCCTAACGAATATGAAAAGGATTAAAAAGTATGAAATCTGTTTCTTTCCACTTGCACTATTTTCCACACTTTCACAATAAAATAAATACACGTGCATTGCAAAAAAAGAGACAACAGGAAAATAAAGAGAGTGCAAAAATAAAAAATAAGAAAAAGAAACAAATCTGTATGAACGAGAATACTTATGCAATTTATGTTATTGTTATCGTGCGGCCTAACATTAATCTGACTATTAAATTGGAACTGATTACACACCGAGATCTTTCTCCGTAGGTGTGCGAGACCTTTTCGTTGGCGTCGTTGCTGCGCGCAGGAAACAGCTTCCAGATTAGACAGAATTCGAACCCTTACACTGGTCACTGGATGTCGTAGCGTGCACAATAGCGCACGATGGAGTATGTAATGGTCGCTGAACGCTCGCAAAGCTAATCATTGCCTCGGCAAGAACGCAGTTCTTATCAGCCGCATGCAATATGTCGAAACGCGAAGATATGTACATATATCTTGATTTAATCGACGTGGCTGTTTGCGTCAATGTCGTGTAAATGGGTCCCTCGTTTGCGAAATAATTTTTTGCAACGTAATTTTGTTGCACGTTCGCGCACGTTCGGAACAATCAATTCGGATGCTCGTGATTGATGTTTTCGCGGAATGGATTTTATCCTGCGCTTCATATGTAATAATCGCGTATAATAGCGCGAAATTATCGCACTGGCAAGATATGCAATTAGATGAGCCGAGCATCGCGGAAACTGGAGGTACAGAATCATCATTCTATGTATGTCTAGATCGCGTATTTCGTAAAACAAAACATACGAAACATAAAAATAAATAAACAAAGTTTCGAGTATCTTAAGAAAAAATATATCGTTTTCAGAGACATACTTTTAATTTAAAATCATTACACACAATTTGCATTTGAACAAATTTACCCTAAAGATCAAATGTTGCGTCTATCGTTTTATTTTTACAATCTTAATCTATATCAGTAGACTTATATTAATAGTAATGAAAATAGTGTAAAAAGAACCAGTTGATAAAAAAATCAAATATTTTTCTTCTCTATTTTATCTTCTGATATTTCTTCTGTTCTATTAGGATTTCTGAGAGAAATAAGCCGCGATGTTAAAAGTGTGTGACGTACATCTTCTGTTGCTATCCCAGACAGCACAAAACGTCCTCAGGATCATCCTGAATATGTCCAGGATGGTTCAGGATATTTGTAGGATGTTTTAAGATATTATTATAAATATATTTTATGAAAATTTAATATGCATACATGATTACTTTCATTTAAATTTTAGAATTTGTTCTTTTTAACGTGTGAAAAATATCCCTAACATATCCTATAGAAATCCTTAAGGTGTTCCACAGGATCTCCCTGGATTCTCTAGAGGCTAGTGTACGGCTATCATTTATTCTTCCTCAGGACATCCAGAGGAGATCCGAGGATTAAAATAGGATATCCTCAGGATATCCTACATGTATGTCCTGGATGCCCTTTGGACGTCCTAAGGACATCCTTGTGCTGTCTGGGATATGTCCAAATCACGCGTTTTGCAGTATCGCCGGATATTGATATGAAAATAAAAAGAAACTGAAAAAAATTGTATTAATGTAAATTCCATATAACCAAGAAAGAAATAATGAAAGCATATCTACATTTCTGTTGTAAAACGTTTGCAATTTACATTTAAGGGAATTAGCATCTCCTTTTATGTATCGATATAAATTTATATTAGAAATTTGAATCTGTCAAAAAAATCTGCTCTTTTATCCAATATAATTTCCTTGTGGATTTGTGTAACTCTGATTTATTTGTATACCACTTTTAGATAACGATATGATATGATATAGTAATGATTGTGATATGATAGTGATATAATATGTTTCTAAAATGCTTTCTGCAGTGATTAGTATTTTTTATTTTTATATCACAATTCATAGTATTTGTGTATCATTGTCATAACTTTGCGCAAAAATACAACTTTGCGCGATATAACTGATAAATTAACTGATAGCTTCTACTATTCCCCTATCTTTCTTTTAAGAGGTTTAGATGTATGTATATAAATATCAATATAATTGCTGAAAATGCGAGCAAAATGGATATAAATACATTCAAAATTTGCCAGTATGCTTGTGGTTTTATTTAAGTGACGGATAAATCAATATTTAATGGATAATGATGTAATTCCACCACTTGACCTTGGTTTTTAATTTAATCATATGCGACACATTTCAGATTCTTTTTTCTGAAAAACACATCATTAGATAGTAATTAATATAAGATAATGTTTATAATTTATATGCTAATTTAATTATCATAAATTATTGAATATTTTTTTTCGATGGAGACTGATTTTATGGAGTAAAAAAGATGAATAAACATCATCAGTTTCTGAAATATCTTAGTAACTTATCGATAGTATAATATATATATAGCTAATGTAGAAAGAAATATTTATTTAATAAATAACGCATTGTTTATTTATATTTATTTCTTATACGCGATAATTATACGAAAATGTATAATATTATAATACCTGCATTGCCATATTATTCTGCACAATTTAAATTTTATTAGAAGACGTACATAAAAACATTTATACCAGACGTGATCGAAATGGACGAATCAACGGCCAGTAGCGGGATCCAGTAACTTGTTATTGACAGTTTTCGGTATCGTTAACTAACGACAGCCAATGGCAAGGACAATTCTGGTAAAAAGCGCAATTCTCATAGGCTATCGCTCGCTAACGACAACGATAATCGTCGCTAAGATGTTTAGAGAATCCTGCTACTGAATAGAAACTTCAAATCTATCTGTTCATCCAGGGTACTTTCCATCAAGAAACGCCTAGTTACAAGTGTCACATGATTGGCTATCGTATAGAAAAACTTTCGGGATTTTAGAAAATCTCTATTCGATAGTCTGTGTTTTCTTACTAGAAAGCACTCTTATTCTTTGTCCTGATTGGTCAATTAAAAGTTATTTCACCTCACGGGTAGGATTTTTGAACACATCCCTAAAATAAATGAAATTATTAGTCGATTTCGGAACATAACATTTCACGGTGATGGGAAATAAAGGGTGCGTTCCGTTTCACGCATTGAGCGCATAGATCGCCTGGAAATCTATAATATATGTTACCTGAACTATAGATTTCCAGGCGATCTATGCGCTCAATGCGTAAAACGGAACGCACCCAAACTCAACCGCTTTGTCTGACGAAAATTCAAATTTAAAACGGCTTGTTATGGGATGATACGTATCAATAAATATAACCTCGATGTGATATATAAAAAAGTTTTCTCAAATAATCTGAAATAGATTGAAGGCATATCCTAAAAAGAATATATATATATATATATACAAAGTACATCATCTCATGTTATTTGTGCAGTGAACTAACAATATGGATAAGCAGGATAATAAGGATAATCTAGAAGAAGTAATTGATAAGCAATACAAGAGAGTACATCAACTTAATGCAGCTACAACATTGATAAAGAGTATGTCATTATTTTGCATTATTTATTACTTATTTTGTATTATACAGTTTCAACAATATAGTACTAATTTGAAATCATATTTTATCTTTTATAGGTAAACACAATATAAAAGATGAACTTCAAGAAATACATAACAAAGTATTGCAAGTCTCGTATGGTATTGATAACATGAGGACAATTTTGAAGAGAATGAAAGAACAGAATACACATTCTAGAGTAAGTTTGTTAAATTGTTTATTCCCAAAGAGAGAGTTTTTTCTTATTAAAGAATTGAAGAAAAGTTAGAACTTTATATTTGCAGAAATTATTGTCGCTGATTGAAAGTTCGAACAAAAGAATTTTACACCAAAAGGAGAATGTTCCACCCGAGCTTATACAAGGCTATCAAAATGCTGATAAGCAAAAAGACGTTCAAACTCAAATCACTTCTGCTACAGCAAAAAGTGCTATGAATTCAACACACAAATTGATGGGGCAACAACTATCTGCTAATAACATATCTGCTATATACGATAGTGATATTATTGAACAAGAAATAATAAAAGACTGTAAAAGAACACTTTTCAATGAACCAAAAGTATGCCCAACGATATTATTTATCAGTCCAGAAGAATTTAATAAAGTGCCTAAATACATTATTGGGAGACAAACTTTGGAGACAATTAATAATTTGATAAGTGATATAAATAATACGCTAATTACAAAGTATACGATCTTATCATTGGGGAAGGCTGCTGCTCAAAAGAGAGGCGAAATTAATCTGTATCTACAGTATAAAAAACAAGAGTATAATATTAAAGAAGAAAAAGGTAAATTCTCAATCTCAGCAATTTTTGTTGTATATATATATATGTATATATATGTATATATATATATATATATATATATATATATATATATATATACACATATCACATGTATATATGTATATAATTTATATCAATATGAATTTCAGGATACTTATACTTCTTCACAGCTGAAGATTATTATAGGCAAACCAAAAAAAAGATTGACAAGACTAAATTAAACTTAATAACTGCATTGCGCCATTGCAAGCGTTTACGTGAATGCAGAACAAAAAATGAATTGCGATATGTTATAATTAATTAATATAATCTTTATTTTTTGTATAAATTCCTAATCTCTTCTATCATTAATTAATAACTTTTAAATTAAATAATTTTTTCTTATGAATGAAAAAAAGTCATAATTTATTAATAGCGTTATTATTAACATATACAGGCTGTTTAAAAAAAAAGAAAGAAGAGTTAGAGAATTTGGAAGAATATATAATAATCATTAAATTAAATACAAATCAACATTAAAAAAATGCTTGCTATTTTTATAACATTACATTAATAACAGAATGCATACTGGAAAACTAATTGTGTACATAATAAATATATATATATATGTATCCTTTTTTTATATCTACTCTTTTATATACATACAATATACATTAATATCAGAAGACAAATGAAAAAGAGATGGTCAGTTGTTTCTAGTTACCTAGCCAATTTGTTTGTCATTGAAGAAGTTGAATGATGGTAGCACAAGAATATTGAGTTTGCCATGAAAGAATATTTGAATATTTGTGCTCTTTTCAAGGAAAAGGTAATCTGCTCCATTTTTTCATTGCAACATTTCAAGTATTTTTTCGCTGATCTATGTACAATGTGTAAAATAAATTTAAAACATGTATAGTAATATGTGTGTGCATTATAATTTTATTTTAGATATTTGATCACCAATTAAATACTTATAAAAATGATGAAATTATATTAAATATTTATTGTGTAAATAAGATGTAGAAAAATTATTCATAGTTTCTAGATGAATTTTCTAACAATATTTTATATGGTTGGTTTTTGCACATGTTTAATATGTAAAACTCTGCTTTGCAATCGATTATTTACAAAGACTGTTATGAATGATTTGCAGCTATAAAATATGTTCAAAGCAGAATCAATTAGTACACTAAGTGATCATGAAGATGATATTGATGATTTGGATGGCTCTATTGTATGGTCCCAAGAAGAACCACTTTCTTCTAACGAAATATTAGAATTATCGACCCAAGATGAGAAAGAAGATAGTTTAGTTGCTTTCTGTCGATTGTGTGCTGGTCAAACTACTAATCCAATATATATATATTCTGAACTCGGCGAATCAATGAAATTGGCACATAAAATAAATACATGTCTAAGTATTAAGGTACATATATATGTTTATATCTGCTATTAAATTTTTATAAATATGTACTATATATATTATAATTGTTGCAAATATGTGTACTATATAAATCCTTGTAAATATATGCACTGTATATTATAATTCATATTGCAGATTAGAAAGACAGATCCATTACCGAAACAGCTTTGTTTGACTTGTATCGAGAAAGTAAATTGTTACAATAGGTTTGACACACAATGTATTAAAGCAGAGGAAATTCTCTTGACGATGCTAAAGGAGAGACAATCTTTCAATGCTTTCAATCATGAAAATCAAATTTTATCTGACCGACAATCCTGTCCCTTATGTATAAAGGGTTACATGAACACATGTGAAAACATGTCCCAGCATGTGAAAGATATAGAATTATACGAGAACGATATAATCTTAGAAAGCAGTGACGAAGAAAATATATTTAATAATATAAATGTCGATAAGGAAAAAGGAAATTGTTCTATTATGTTACAATGCCTGGGAAATAGGCAGAAATATTTAAAATGCGGCGCGTGCATGAATCTCTATCACACTAAGGAGACTCTAGATGGTCACAAGTGCAAGCCCAGTATGCAGAGCACAACGAAGCCGTACAAATGTTTTACATGTGACACGACATTTAATTTCGAGGAACGTTTGAACTTCCACACGCAATTTCACAAAGGTGCGAAAGCGTTGTATTGCGAAATCTGCAAAATAACTTTCGGTAAAGAGTTGAAGTTATTCTATCATTATAAGAGATATCATTCCAAGGATGTTAACATCTCGTGTCTGCAGTGTGGAAAATTATTCGAGAATCAAGAGGTGCTCCGTATGCACATTTGCGTGGACGGTAAGAATCGGCCACACATTTGCGAGGTGTGTAACAAAGGCTTTTCCGATGGTTATACCCTGAAGCGTCACATAGTGACGCACCTGCCAGAGAAGCCTTACAAGTGCTCGCAATGTTCGAAGAGCTTTACACAAAAGTCGAGATTGAATAAGCATGTTGCGAGTCACTGCATCGTTATTGAAAACAATCAGACGGTCTGGAAATGTGTTCAATGCGGCGAAGTATTTATCTCTTGCGATGACGCCGATGGTCATTGCAAAATACACGAGGATAAGATCACGTTAATTGAGGAGTTATCGATATCGAAATTGTATCATTGCGAATTCTGCAACAGTCACTTCACCGAAGTGGACAACCTGAAGACTCATCAGAATAGACACGTCGTCGAAAAACCGTACACATGTAACATATGCAAAACTACATATAAATCATTCGCAGAGGCCATCTTACATTGGAAAGAACATCAAAGATTGTTTAAAGTTCTCGTCGTCTTTCTATGCGATATTTGCAACAAGGACATGAAGGAATTATCTCTGTTGTATAAACACAAGCAAAAGAGACACGATTATGCAGCCAGATTATCCGAGTTTGGCGATGCAAAGTTCGTATGCGAACTTTGCGGAAATATATTCGACAGAAGCGAGGATATACAGGATCATGGGCGAGATCAGTGTTCCAAATTTCCCTGTGATATTTGCGGCAATCTACTGCCCACGGCAAATTCGTTGAATGCTCACAAAAGGCGGCACAACGGACTGCGACCGTATGTCTGTAATATCTGTGGAAAGAGTTACACTCAGTCCAGTCACATGTGGACTCATAAGAGGTTCCACATGGGCGTCAAACCTTACGCTTGCGAATATTGCGATCAGCGTTTCACGATAAAGCCGGATTTGGCGGATCACACCAGGAAGAAGCATACGAGGGAGAGGCCGTTCAAGTGCGATGTCTGTAATAAGGCTTTTCTCACCGGGTCCGTATTTTATCAGCATAGACTGATACATCGTGGTGATCGTAGATACAAGTGCCATTACTGTGAAAAGGCTTTCACCAGAACGGAAGCTTTAAATAATCACATTAAGATACATACCGGGGAAAAGCCTCACGCATGCGACGTGTGCGGTAGATGCTTCAGACAGAAAGGAGATATGAGAAAACATAGACGCACCCAACATAATTCTAAGCAGGATACATCTTGAAACTTTTGTCATATTTCAAATGCAGTGTGAATTATGCTTTTATCATTATGGTTGTATTTTAATCATTATGTTGATAAATAACAAATATGTATATAATAATCTATTCGTGCAACATGATCATACTATACTATTGTATAATGGATACAGAATCACACAAATTATTAATTTATCTCTTTTATAATAAACAACAAAATATTCCACGCACACAGGGAAGAAGAGAGAAAAGAGATTATAAAAAAATAATATAATACTAAAATATATAAGACAACATAAAATAAAAAAGGAAATGTATAAGTTAGATATAATGTATTGATACATAACATATTAAAAAACAATTTATGTAATATAAACATATATTATAAAAGATATACAATAACTGTATACTGTCATAATTACTGCGTAATTATTTCCTATTTATTATTTATTTAACGTTAGTGTGTTTATTATATACTGTTTTATTCTTTTATTGCGACTACAAATGTATATAGAGAATTGTAAAAGAATTAGAAACTCCGTACACATAATTTTAAAGAGCCGCGAAAATGTGCGTAACGAATGACAGGTGCGCGCGCACGCGCGTACGACTGCGTATCGTAGAACAGGTGATGTGTGTGTTACATATCTATAATGTCTTATGACTGCCGTCATCGTGCATCTAATCATCGCGCACGATCTGTTGGACGGACGACCTGATACACTTGGCTGTGATAATCACCCGAGTGCCCGTTGCGCTCGCGGAATACGTGCCGTGATGGCCCACGAAATAACGATGGCGAGGTAGAATCGTGTTCCCGAGATCGCGGAGCTGATACTGGTACGTGGTGGCCGAGAGTGGCCGAGAGTAAGAACGTCATCGTCAGTCTTTTACGCGAGTAAGTCTATTAACCTTCGTCGCGCAATCTTCCGCGGGTCTGTTTCGAGTCGCGAGAGAGGATCCCCTCCCGTGTGCTCGAGCACGACTTAACCTTAATGCGTTTTGACATATGTATGTAACGGGCGTACGCATGTGGAGAGAAAGGGACGATGTAATTGTAAACAAAGTCCGTGAGATACGATTGAAAGTAACGCGGCGACGGTCGAACGATTTTACGTAAATTACTGCGTAATAGTTTTGCGCGTTATTTAGAGTGAAAATTTGAAAGTCCATCTTTTACTATGTCCTTATCGCGCTCTTTAATTTCGTCGATGTTTGTAAAAGGTTATGTAAGATTTTGTCGTTGTCGATGTTCCATGAAGTAAAGGAGAACCATGGCTTTCCCGCCTTTAGTCAGCTCAACACCTCCGCCCTTAGACAACTTCGGAGAGTCCGACGAAGATGAATTCGGAGACTTCACAGCTGGCGGAATAGATGGTATTTATCTGTAAATTAATAGACCCATTAATATCTAACACAATTCCAACACTCGTTATCTTTCACATTATCGCGCACACAATTATCCTCTAATATATAGGCTTGTTGTTATAGGTTTATCTGTTTCATCAGAATCCCCGCAGAAACTGATCACTCCGATACAAACACCAATAATATCACAGAACGTATCTCCTAGGATAAATGGTATTAACGAGTCACCAGTATTAGACGGTTGCTCTAAAATAAACAAAGCCTTGAAATGTGGCGTCATTGATGACCTATTGATTGTCGAGAAGGGGGAGGATAACGTGAGCCATATAAGATTGAAAGATAGAACAGATAATAGTAGCGTATTGGAAAACAATTTCGAAAATATTAGTATTACAAAACACAATGTATTAGATGTACCTAGAAATGGCGAGTTGCATAAAGTTGAGACTAGTAATAGCATTGATCACGTTTGTACTCAGAATGTTTTAGCTAAGGAAAATTTTGTTGATACAGATGTAATTAGTAGCAACAATAGTAGTTTAGCTGATAGTATAAAGACAGTCAGTGAGCAAGAGAGATCATCTAATGGTTTGGAGGCAAATGATGAGATAGAACCTACAAGCTTGGATTTGGAAGATCCTACAAGTACGCCGGATATTCTGCAACAATTGGATGACGATTTTTACAATTACGAACAGTTCAAAGATTCCAGTGAGTGGAATGATACTGTTTGTGATAAAAAGACAGATGTGACTATGACAGTTTTAGAGACGGAATACGATAATAAGCCTAATTCCATAGACACAGAATGCAATGTAACAGATGAAATAGGAAACACTTACACGCCATATGGCGAGAATGATGTCTGTGTCAATCATATTAATGATAAATCTACTTTCATTCATGATGAAAAGACAATTTCCAATTTTGTTACCTCGCAAGACATTAATGTAGACAGTACTGATGTTTTTAGTCAGCCAGACTGCGAATATAGTATTCAACCAAAATATATAGAGATGTACGATGTAATATCTAATGGTGAGACGAGCAAATCGAGTAAAACCTTAAATGATTCTTTCAATTTTGATTTTACTTTTGACGATGCTCTAAGAGAGAAATCAAATTTAGATTGTACATCCATATATAACGAAGACATTTATGTTCAAAAATCTAATATGAAAAACGATGAGAGTTTTCCTAATAACATTTGCGATAAAGGTGATGTAGAAAGTATCATACAATCAAAAGAAAACGAATATGTAGTTGTAGAAACAAAGAATCAAATTGTTCAAAAAACAGGTATGAATGGGGCAATTGATGAAATTTCTGCTTATGAAGAAAAAAACTCGAATAACGAAAAAATAAACAGACAGCATATTCCGGAAGATGACTACGACGCATATAATCTACATAATTCCGACTTTACGGAATTTATGGAGCATAAAGGTTTTGACGGTGTATCGAAATTGCCAAGTAGTTACAATCCGATATCCATTAATAGTGAATGCGAAACAGTACAAATTCATGACGCATTTTCTTCCGATATGTCTTGTATACAAAAATTTTCATCAATTGAAGAAGCTTCACTGCCATCTACTAATACATCCCTTGACTGCTTAAAAGATAAAGTTAATCTTACAAATACTGCGAGCGAATGTGCCACATATAAAAGCGAAAATTCTGTAGTATATTTTAGCGATGGCGAATTTTATGATTTCCACTTACAAAGTATGGAGCCAGCCACCGAAGTACAAGAAAACAATTATTCTGATTTTGAAAGCGCGGATAACGAAGACGATGATTTTGGTGATTTTACTAATTTTTCGAATGCAACAATAGAATCGAAATTAAATGATGATGCTAAAGAAATGAAGGTACGTGAGGACAATGATGATTTCGGAGATTTCAGCAATTTTGAAACATCAATGGGTGTAGTAGAGACACAGCAGTTTAATTTGAAAGAATCTATATGTCGGATAGAAAACAAGAATGTGAGTTTAGGAATGTTTATAATAGATAGTTGATAGTTTATTAGAAAAATAAGTGTATTTTTGCTTTCGCTTAGATTTTGTGCAACTTTTGCATTAAATATAAATAATATAATTTATAATATACTTTTTGACATATTTCAATCAAAATAATTTCAGGCCGCGAATAAAATAGAAGATATAATAACAAATATGTTTCCAATAATTCCTGAACATCATGAAGTCGAGTTAAAATCTTTAATAGATGAAACGGATAAAGTTTGGCAAAATGTGAAAAGTGTGGAAGAAACTAATGCTCTCACCTATCAATGGGCAAATAGTGGTAGTAACAATGTTCTTCTAAATGCTCTTGGTATCGATTCCCGGAATATTGTAAGTATGCATGTATTTAAAATTGAAAATATTTAATACCTTTTTTAATATATTCAAAAAATAATAATATTTGTTGTGAAATTAAAGCTATTCGGGCCGAGATGGAATCCGAATATACCAAGGTTTGCTGCAAATCTTGGCTTTACTCCGTTGGAGCCGATTAAAGCTACCGTTGAGTCTCAGCAGCCTTCAACATCCAACGCCAGCAGGATGCAAGGCGCGGCTTGTTCAGATGTAAGTTGAAGGTTTATTTTCATAGGATACACGTGTGAGTACAATCTACATATTTATTAATAATTGTAATATTATATTAGGAAGTACCCGCTGCCCAATTTGATTGGAATAGTTCTGGTCTTGTAAATCCTCTAGATGCTAGTAAGTATTTATTGTAATCGTGCGTAAATGTGTGTGGTAGTTAAAGTATTACACTGAAGAAGAAAAAAGATGCTAAATCTCTCATATATTTTGCTACTTTGATATAATCACATATAACGAAAGAGAAAAAGAATATTTTCTCTTGAACAATTTTTTATTCTATATGGTGTGGTGATATAACACGTAGACATGTGTGTTGAATTTTTTTTTAAATCTTGCGAAAAATAACACAATACAGGTGGTGGTGGGTTGTCCGCTCTTCTGCCTCTGGATTTGTTGTGTCCGTTTGATCCTCTATTAACACCCCATTGCTCCACACATTCCGAATCCTATCATCAGTCAGCTTGCTCAACAAACTCCGTGTATTACTGTAAGTGCTAAAGTATAATTATATGTGTGTGTTGTGTGTATGTGATGTGATGTGTACATATGGACATATTTATAATTTTTGTTTCAAATAAAAAATATCTTTTTCATATATGCACATATATCAAATATTCATAGTTTCTGCTTATTTGCTTGGTTTTGAATGTTTATAGTATTGTAATTACTATGTTTATAGTTGATTATATAATTAATTATTATGTGTAGTTAACCATTTTTTATTATTATGCAGATCCATCAGAAGTACAAGAACCAAGCAGTCAGCTTGTAAAATCGCAAAATTTACTCGAATTTACTAATAATTCGCTAAAACAGCAAAAATCGTCTCAAACGTCCAAGATAATAGAACCATTGCCAGGACCATGTGCAGTAGAATGGAAGAAGAAAGTCGAACAAGATTTCGGAGCAAAGCAAAAAGGCAGCCAGTCGCATAAAGCTTTGAGAAATGTTCCGCCGACCAACAATAAGTCGTTTTCGGTAAGCAATAATATTTCCAAAGTACATGATTATCATAGAAAGACATCGGTATGTAGAAAAGAGAATACGCAAGGTACGGAACACGTGGTCATGGATCGATATGGTCGACCGATGACCGTGCAAGCTGAAACCGCGAAGATTCTGAATCAGTTACCGGATCTGTCGTTCTTAAACGCGAGAACTCTGTTGTTCAATCGCGAGCAGAAGCAGATCGTGCCGGATCTGGGCGCAGTGATAAATCGGAAGATGCCCGGCTGAGTAACATCGGTCTGAATGCGAGTTTGAAAGGGGCAAACGCGAGAGGAAACCTCCCGGAGAACCTGTTGCGAATTGAACGTTTCTCAATGACCCATACAATCAAAACGTACTTCTGCTACCTTTCAAACCTGTGTTCAGACCAACCTCTGATCCAACCTTGGCTCTTCCGCGTCTGAAAAGGATAACAAGACGCGTACGTGTGTACGTAAAATTCCTGTATTATTCATCTATTCGCTTGCGGCACCGAGCAATGCACTTTGACATTCCGAACCATCATTGTTTTGTGATTTTATAGCGCTATTGAGAATTATTGTTATTGAATCCTTTAAAGGAACTTTTACTTCGTTATGCAATTATAATTTAATATTGCACTATCGTTTCGGCTTATGTAAGTTTGTTCTGTTAGCTCAACGGTTGCATAATCCTTACTGGAAACAGCAACATTTTATGTCCCTAAATTAAATAGATTTAAGAATTCACACATATTTGGCCATGTTCTAGTCTACAGTTCTTAACACATAAGTTTTATGTATTATATGTTAGGAAAGATTCGTTAAAGGGATATTTTCAATTATAATTGCGAGCAATTAAGCAATCGAAAAGATTATATTATACGTTTTTATCTTGTACGTTAAATTTACCTGCAAATTCTTCTGAGATTATTCTTAGATGAGCAGATCCGAATATTAACCATATACATTCGAGATATCGCGCGTACGATATTCATCTATTACAATTTCAAGCAATCGTAAATATTTCCATAATATAGAGTTATAGAGAAGAGAAAATACACACACATATATTTAACTCTATTCAAAATAAAAACTATATACTAATCGTAAGTCAATTATCAATTAGATTGACGAGAAGATTGATATCTGTAATGAAATCGTCGAGTGATATCGCATATATCAAATTCGCTTGATGCTTTTATTGCACATTTTGAATTTCTACTGTGGAACGATGTACTTAATTATATGTAAATGTAAAGGCATTTGCATATTGATTATTAAACCGCGAAACGCGATAAGCTAAAGTAATATTACCATTACCGAATTCGTTATTTATTAATGATAATATTGTAATATATATTTTATGTAAAATATTGTGGATAATATTAACACATAGGCAATCTTTGACAATTGAATCGTTGTTACTTTTCTTAACCACTTTGTCCACGAAATCGTATCTCGCAAAAGTCCTCGATCTCTTTCCCGATCCTTGAATTCAACCGTTTGCAATACATCTACACACATTTAGCATTTAATTTTATTAATTATATAAAGAAAAAGAGAGCGTTAAAGAGAATGATTCAATGAACAATTCAATATTTTGAACAATCGTGGTTTTGATTTTATTAAATATAAGAGAATTCGTGTAAAAGAGATCAACTAAATGTCTCATATAATTATTTTTTATTAAGATATTTGTATTAAAAAAATTATTATTCATCATTTTATATTTGATTATATATTTTATAAAATGTTTGTCATCATCACACAATATATAAATATAAATTTATTACATTAAGAAGTAATAGTTGAAATATTTACAAAAATCACATATATTCAATTAGAATATATAATTAATAATACAATTGAATTTGGTATAATATATCTCTCCGTAGGCACACTCGAGGCACAGCCGAAATTTAAAAAAATTTCCATTTTTCTCTCGTTTTTGCTCAAATTTAAATTTTTATTTAAAAAGGTTTTGAACATTTGATTAAAAAAACTATTGGATAATGTAGTAGACACTTTGAAATGAAAAACTGATTTTTACCAGATTTTTTGAAAGCCTAGAATAGTAAGAAAACCTGGATTGATCCTCAAATCTCCAGTGTGCCTACGGAAGGTGAGAAAAACAAATGTGCCTACGGAGGATCAGTTGTAAAAAAAGAGCATGCAAATGTAATGTATGATTTTTTAAATTAAGTAAATAGATCCTCTTCAGATTCTTCTTCTGAAATATTAAGGACCTGTTTTATTGTATGAGGCACGTCTATATTTTGTGATGTTAACTTATTTCTACTAGTAGAAGGCTCAGGACTTGTAAATTCACTCGATGAGGAACTTGTACGTATTCTAAAATTCATCTTACTATTCTTTGATATAGTTTTCTGTTCACTTTTGTGATCCACTTTGCGTTTTCTTGAATTAGATGATGCAGTATTATGTACTTTCTTGCTTTCTACATCTGATTTCTCACTTTCATCGTCAGTAGTTTCATCATATATCGACTTTGTTTGTTTGTTGTTATCTAAAGCCTTCTGAAGCTCTCTAATCCTTTTTTTCTTTGCATTCAGAAGTAAAAGAAATCTCGTGTAAAGATCCTTCTCCATTTTATCTTTTACATTTATCATTTCTTCTATATCTTTGGTTAGCTTTATATTGCTTTCATTCAGGCATTTGTTCCCTCTTTCCAATGTTAGTATTTCTTCTTGACATTTTTGATAAAGCTCCAACAATTGTTTCAAAATATCAGAAATAGTTAATATATTTGAAAGAGGATATATTGCAATTTCTCCACGAGTAAGAATATTTTGCTGTTTCCATATAAATGTATCATCATGCAGAAAGAACTGTATGTCAGTATTCTTACCAGAAAATGCAAGTTTGGTTTTTTCCAGATATATTTCAAAAGCCTCATCTAAATGACCTAGAAAGTAATTGGCCTTTTCTATGTCCATCTAGAATATAAAAATAATTACATCATTAGATATATGTGTTAAATGCAATAGAAGATATGTATTATGATGATAATCATCAAGAGTGACATTTTGCTTTGACGATAAGAAACTTGTTCAAGTTTTTCAAAATTTTGTTATATATATAAGTAATATACAGTCGAATGAGTAAATATTAATCAGATTATATACCTCTCCTCTCAGTGGTACTGTGCATGGTCTTAATAATATTATTTTAAAATGTGTATCTTCCCATTCTGCGTATAATGTAAAATTACTTTTGTCCACCTGATTCACAAGCTGACTCACGCTCACATTAATCATGATTTCATTTCAATAACTTAAAAAAGGTATGTAAATAAAAAACAAAGGAATTGCGAAAAACATTTGATGTATAATTTGATAAATTTTTAGTGAAGCGAAATAATGCACATGAGCATTTTATAAGTGCTATAAAAGCACTTTATATATTATCAACATGTTGGAGCATGTTACAATGCGTCACATGTCATCAAGTGACGCGCGCATGCGCTTCTCGTAATGATATTTGACATATATATGTATCTGCATGCATGTGTGATTATTTTAATTGTTTAAATAGTTCGAAAAAATAAAATAATATATTCGAGACATTGAAATGATTATCACACACACGTGTGCGCTTAATAACAGTTCTTCGATTTTTATTAGCAATAATATTACTGTCTCTTACTAAAAACGACACGATTAAAATTACTGAAGAATAACATTAATTATTAAATTTTACTGCTATGAAATATTTTAAAGATAAAAAATTATTTAGGCGAGGGAAGAATCACAATACTTTTTTTTTAATGATTTGAAACTTTTCGCCGTTAAATGATAATAAAGGTTATGGAAAGTAATACAATAGTACGTAGTAGAAAAACTTAGAGACACGATACATCTTTTTCAGATCAGGCTGTTAAAATATATGTGTAATTCGTTATAATTTAACAGAAAACAAAATACATTATATGTTTTTATTAAGCACAAACTCGAATAGAGAATATCTATTTGGAATAAAATTTTTATATCAACTACATAATACATAAAGAAAGTGTAATATACATTTGCTTAATAAGGTAAGAGTCATACAGCTTATCAGTCATCAGAAACTTAATTTTAGACATGTCATCTAATCTTAATTATAATTATATTTACAGAATATATTTTACATACACTAAGATTTGAAATTCTTAAAATTTAAATTTAAATTTGCTTAAAAGTCTTGCTCATTATCTGTTCTATATATATTTATACTGATATAGTTGGAACTAAATAAAGCGGATTGGAAACATGGAACGTTTACCATTACCCAAAGCATTAGAACCATTAGCGTGGCTAGAAGGAACATGGCGAACAGACAATTATGGCAACGGCAAATATCCGACTATTGAAAATTTTAAATATTATGAGGAGATAAGTTTTACATACATAGGACAACCCATGTTTAATTATACTGCTCGAAGCTATTCCATCTCAGAATCAAAAAGACCAATGGCTCAATCAACAGGTTTCTTGAAAGTGAATCCAGAGACTAATAAAATATTTCTCATCTTGGCACACAATTTTGGTTTAACAACCATTGAAGAGGGTGAAGTAATTAATAATACCATTAACTTAAACAGTACCGATATATTAAGAATGAAAGGGGCAAAACCACCGCAAGTAACACAGGTGTGTTTAAACATTTTTAATTTTTACTCAATTTAATATATCATAATTTATATAAAATATATATAAACTTATATAAATCTTATCTTAATTGCATGCAAATTATACTTTTTAAACTTTATAATTTTTTTCAGATACGCAGAGAATTCAAACTCGATGGTAATTGTTTAGAGCATGTGTTTTATATGGCAACATCGAATACTCCAGTGCTGACTGAACATTTGCGAGTAAAGTATGTAAAAGTGAACCAAGAGAATGTAAAGAGTGTAAAGTAAAGATAAACTTTTAAATGCACGTTTTATTGTATAGTTTTTACTATTTACTATTGCAACTTTCTGTATAAGTATTATGAATGAATAAAATTTTAGAATAACAGGTAGAACGCGCGTTGAATCAACCATCCGTTTTTTACGCATTAATTTTTTCCGCATCAGCGATATTATCTGTGTGCGCATGTTACATGACAAATCTATTATGTATTCGCAAGTCTCAACATTATCCATCATTCAGATCTCGCGAAATTACCACAAAAAATATAGTTTACTGCTATTACATAATAACTTCATAATACACGAAGTATGTATTTTTCTATAATCGACAATCGTAATTTCTGTTGCGACACAAGAATTGAATAGTTTTTGATGTTAAAAAACATTGCATGCTAACATATAATCATAATAGATGAAAGATTTTAGGAAGGTATAATACTGGAAATTTCATGCGACGATTTTCCAGTATACAGTTCAACTTGCAATAGCGCGCTTCGAGTGAACGTATAGAACGATATAGACAAGATACATATTAAATATATTTGAAATTTTTATCACTTTCATTAGATTTGTATCGTTTAAGCTCCACGGCTGTGAAAAATGAATATGAAAATATTACCGTTGAACGAGTTGTTACATGTGTTAGCCTGGCTTGAGGGCGTATGGATAACGGAGGAGCCCGCAGTCGGAATATATCCGACCATCAAGTCGTTCAATTATTACGATGAGATAAATATCACGTCCCTAGGCCAACCGATGTTTAATTACATTGCGCAGAGTTGGCATCCGGAAATGGGGATGCCGATGCATCGAGAGACCGGCTTCCTGCAGATCTTACCGGGGACCAACAAGGTTGCTCTAAGTTTGATTGATAATATAGGTCTGTTCACGGTCGAGCAGGGTGAGCTGATGAATGGTACCAAAACTATTGATATAAAAAGCACCAATATATTGACAACAGATGCATCGATACCGCATTTCCCAACTTTAACGGAGGTACAATTTTTGTATAAATATTGCATGTTGATAATCATGTTCAATAGTACAATATTTAATGTGTTCTTTTCTCGACAGACGCGTCGAGTGTATAAAGTCGATGGTGACAGTATGGAACTAATCTTCTACATGGCAACATCAAAAACGCCAGAACTGAAGGAACATTTGCGTGCGAAGTACAAAAAGATCGCATAACACATGAAGAGACAAGGATAGAAATAAAATATTGTACAAGTTAACGTTTTTCATTTTGTGTTGAAATTATCTGACAATGATTAGGATGTGAATATAAAATTTTCGAAAGATGCGAAATGTAAACGCATTTTTCGATGTAGCTAGTAAATGTATAACAAAAAATAGATTTAACTTAATACAATGTATTGTATTGATATGTATGCACAAAATTATATACACGTTTTTGTGTCTGTCATTTTACCAAGATAAATCAACTAAATAAAAGGTCGGAGGTCGGCGCATACAATACCTAGGAGAAAATTCGCGGCTGGCACGCGACGTGACCGCAAGAGAACTGCGCCACAGATAACATTCTTAAGCGTATCCTTTTTAATTCAATCGATGAAATTTAGTTATATTTCTTTACATTAACAGACAATATGATTTTTATTGATTGTTTTATTGATATTGCAACATTTGCGACTTATGTTATGATGTTAAAAACTTTATATATATATATATAACTTGATCTTTACATTTTTAATCATATAGAATATAGACTATAGAAACTGGTGAAATGGAATTTGATATAAAATATATAAAAGAGTAAGAATATTTTTATACTATTCTACATATTGTATGAGATGAATGATGTGAATGAAGATTATCTGCACATCTCATTCAATTCAATTTAAGATTATATAATACATCTCGTACTCAAAGGAGAAATGAAAGAATTAAACTTTGATTTTTGCTTATAAAAATTTTGTGTCAAAAATTAGCAAATTAAAATGAACTGAGAAATGTTCATTAGCTGCGAAATTTTCCTCTTCTGAAAAAAGAAAGTATAAAATAATATTAAATCTATTTCTTATTTTTCTTTATACATTTTGAATTTGATTATTTTATTATATTTTATTATATATATGTATATAATTTTTTACTAAATACTGTATATCCTGAGTTCGATTTTCTTAATGGAAAGAACGCGCGATTCATATCAATCTGGGATGATAATTGTGTGGGTTTAAATGTATCGAGAATGTGTATTTACGTGTTTCGTAATATCGCGAAACCTGAATTAAATAACCGCTACTGCTTAGTCGAATTCGTTCGGCACAAAAGGGGGTAGGGAATGTAACACCTGCGTGTTTACCCGCTGAAACAGCCTCGACCTGCCACGGCAGAACCGATGTCGACGGTCGACCGTGACAGTTGCTCGCTGCGTCGGCATGACGAAGAATCGTTCCCAATCACGGGGAAACGGATATCGGAATTGATCTTTGAATATTTCGCGTTACAATACCGCGAGTGTTCGTTACATCGTCGCCATATGTCGCCATTAATTCGCGGCGACTCGAGCATCTTTGTGACACTTAAAATACGTGCGTTTTATGTCCGATTTCTTTTACAATTCGATATCTAGATTGTTTTAAAATTATTTTTGAGGTCAGAGAATATACGCGTCGCGTATTTAAATTATCATACAGAATTGTTAATTTTATATCATTCCGACACATCCGTACAATTCTTCTTGATTTTGAGAAAATATAGAATTTTCTCGATTTTTCTTTCATTTCAAGAATTGCTTTTATTTAAAAAAAAAACGTATTTTATGTACATTATTTAATAAGTTTCTTTTTATTTTAAATATTTTATATTTTCTTTCACAATCTCTTTTAATTTAATTTAAAAATTTGTATGTTTTTATATCTTACTCTTTTTCTCTCTTTCTTTATTTTATAAAATTTATATTTCTTTGAAAGAATTAACATAATTGTTTTATCTGATTTAAGGTGCTTAAAAACTATGGAAAGTGGAGAGAAATAGAAACACGTTTGTTTCAAATAGATTGCATTATTCGGATTCATTAATTTCCTTAATGGACGCTCGCTAAATTGTGCGAACACATAAGATTATAACGATATTGTGTTTCGAACTACGCCATTTTTGACTTAATCCGTGCGCAATTTGAATTTGCATTATTGAATCGATCGATATCATTTCTCGATGCGCTCAATCGACTTTAAGCTTTTTGACTTTTGAATGGCCCGTAGCATGGCATCGCTTTACGATGGCCACGATCATTACAAGAGGATGTTTGAACTTCGGGAGAAACTGCGAAAGAGGCAAGTACATCAAGTTCTCGTGAAATAATCACACATTGCGTTAGTGCATCGCGAGAAAATAATTATGGAAATATTATTGGAAATTTTCCAGCGAGGAGGAGAGAATACGATTGGAGGGGCGATTCAACGAGCTCGTGCGAGAATCTTATGATAGGTGAGCGAGTATCTTGACTAATTGGAAATACGGAATTCCTTGAACTTGAATATTTGCTGTTGAGAAATTTGAATATGTAATAGAGCCGCTGTATGAAGTCTGTACACACACAATATAACACGTGACATAAGACTTATTATGGAATCGTGTATCATAAAAATTCATAATAATAAATAGTTAGAATTCTTTTAATTTAATTTAAAGTTTTTTGAATCAATTTTGTTTTCAAAGAATAAAAACAAGATTATTTTTATATCGCTTTTTAATTTTTGTTTTATGATATATTGTGCGTAAGTCAAGTTCATCTAAATTTTTTTTTTTTTTTTTTTTGATAATGCGTTAAGCAAATTCTTCGAGTTTAAAATGCGAAAGTTAGAATGAATCATTCTACGTTTCATCTAGCGCAGCAAAGGTGTAAAGGAATTACCCAAAATACTCGATATCGATTCAATGGCAACCCGGTTTTACGGGATGTCACGATCAATAACACTACGAGCATAATCTCATTCTCGTCATCGTCGTCCGACATATCTCCATTCGCGAATTCCGTTGTTTACGTGTCCCGATTCGTGTCTGGCCGAGACATCCGAGCACTTCATCGATCGCGGAGACAGGATAAGAACGCGAACATATTTCATGCTCACGATAATGCGCGTTCCTGTTTTAAGGCGATGCGTTAGCTATATGTATATAGTTGCGGAGAGACGCGACCTTCTGTCATCAAGGTGTCATGAAATGCTTTTCGATTGTATGAAAGTCGTATTAAATTCTTAATCGACCGATAAATAACCGAAGAATAAGAAAAATAACATAATTAGCCTAAACTTTTATCATTCGACGTAGCTCGACGATTTTCTGATTGCAGACACGATGCTTGTATAAATCGGTTGCGTATGAGATACATACAGTATTTAGAGGAACAACGTGCGAGAGATGAAAGGAATCACAAGCTTCTCGCAGCATTGGACAAAGTCACAAACAAGCTCGCGTTGATAAGCGCGAAAAAAGACAGACTCAATGTTCTCAGAGTAAGTGTCTATTATTTTAATTAGAGATTTATTACTATTTTAGAAAAATTATTTTACAATACTATGTTTCCATTATAACAAAATATCATATTAAATTTATTATATTGGATTGTATTGGAAATAACTATCACAATTGTTAAAAAGTAATAGAAATTATATCTAAAATGTTCCACTTGCCTTTTTAATTTTTTCTAAATTGGTTTAGTGATTGATTAGAGAAATAGAAATTAATTTCTTCATTATCTAAGAATTCTTTAAATATTTTGATAAAATAAACTTTGAAAAATTTCTTGAATTTATCTTGAAAAAAATATTTCAATATCTTAAATTTTTTACACATTATATGTATTTTGCTCTTATAATTATAAGATATATTTTGCTCTTATAATTATAAGAAGATATAGTTGTTGCGAGCAAATTTATATCAGCCCTTCTAATGAGCGAAAATCTTGGTTCTTTTTCAGAAGCAATATGAAGCTTATCTGCTGCGCGTTTATGCCAATCGTCGACAACCTGGTAGCGTCACCGGAGACAGCGGTATCGCTAGTCAGAATGAGGATAAGTACACGAAGAAAATCGTCACGTTGGCGCAGCCTGATATAGCATCCGCGGAAACGAGAAGCGTTTCGTCACCGCGGGCGCATCTGTCTACTCAATCAAATCAGCCAAGGTCTACCTCCACATTCAAGTTGCATGATCAAACTGCTGTAAACGGCACTTTATTAAATAATTCTCCGATCTTGCCAACTACGCCACTAAGTGCACCCTTCGGTGTCGATTATCATCAGACGCGCGTTCCTCGTGAACCGCATGTTTATGTCTCACCGGTCGGTCAATCGAACGAACAACTCACTCAAGTGTCAGCAATTTCCTCGCCAAATACCCGTCACTATCCACGAACGCTTTCCGGTTATGACGAGAGCGCGTCTCGTGGTCTTCAAGATGTCGGCAATTTTCGCGCTTCGCATACGAAAGCATCGGTTTTGCCGATGTCATTCTTGGATCAGATTCAACCCGATGCTGTTCCCGTTAATCGATTCTTCAGAGAGCATGTGGAATCGCTGCAAGCCGCGACCTCTGGTCTCTCGACGCAATTTCCTGCTGGAAAAGCGCGATACGAAGAGACATCGCGAAATGAGCCTGTTTCACGACGATTCGATCCCTTGACCGCGCTTCAATGTGACGATGTTAATATAATGTTATCTAATCCGCAATCGCAGATAAGAGAATACGATCCGTCCGATGTTGCAGGACCCTCTTTAATGACTGCGAAATCGAGTACATATCGAGTGGATCCCAATATAAGTGTCGTTGATGAAGTCGATCCGTTGCCGGGATATATGGACTATATCGAGGCGAGTCCGCAGAAGTCCGAGGACGAAGGATCCATCCATTCCCTCACTAGCGATGACGTGGACGATATGATAAGGCGCAACGAGCATCTATTGTGGAGCACGGATGGTGCCAAGACTCCATGTCGATCGCCGATTGACGTTTTGGGACTGCATAACGCTAATTTGGACGAGAATGGCAAAACGACGGCGATCCTGGAAAATGAATTGGACCAATACATTAGCAAAATCCGGAAACTCCATCGAGAGCATGGTGTAACGACTCTGGAGGAGATGGACCACGAACAGAACACTAGTGGTGATCTGCTGAACGTCACTCTGTCGGAGGACGCTGCGGAGCTTCCGGCTGAAGATCGGGCGAGAAAGGAGCGAGTGTCTGCGAAGATGGACAGGATTCTGGCGTTGGCAAACGATCTTGCGTCGAAGACGACTGGACTGAAGGAGGTTACACAAAATACAACCGGGCAAAGTGGCAACGATAACTTATCCGCGGAAGTTGTCAAGGATGAAATTAGACACCGCGAAGCGACGACGGACGATACATCGCAGTTCGAAGAAAAACGCGAGCCTGAAGGACGCGGAATCTCGGCAAAGAACGAAATTAGAGAAGACGTTGCGACACACTCAACGGAATTAGAGCAAACGCGTAGAAACGCGGAGATTGCGAAAGAGAGCTGGAATAATGCGGACGATTTAGCCGAATCGCGAGAGCGCGATCGGGAAATACCTGCTGCGAAGAAAGACGACACACACGAAAAGATAGCCGCATCCTCGAGTAACGGATCACAGATCGACAATCGGAACAACGCATCGGAGAAGAAACAGTTCGATCTTGTTACCGGTGAAGAATCGAATATCGATGGTCTATTCGACGTCGCCGAAGAATTGACACCGTGGAATCTTGCGAGTATGCAAAAGGAAGTTCGAGAATTAGATTTGAGCGATCCTAACGAAGCTCGAGCGGTGAAAAAGGACGTCGAAGAGACGGAGAATAAAATCGTCGATGAAATTGCAAGCGAATCGCATGTTTCGTTACCGTTCATCGAAAAAAGCGGCGCGAATGATGAAGTGGAGAACGCGCATCATCTGCAAGATACACTTCCTCACGAGGAGATGGAGTCGAAAAAGTTGGATGTATGCGAAGCGAGCGAATCCCAAGAAACACATCATCCCTCTGTCGAGAATGTTGAAGACGTGACTTTTGAAATTTCGAATCAACATAAAACCGACGAGTCCAAAATCACATCTCACGTAAATGAGGAACTTGGCGAATCAAAAAAAAATAATGATAAGAAGCAGGATAATGACGAGACGACAAAACCTCAAATCGATGATCGATCTGAGAATATAATAAAAGATAATGAATATAGTGTCGAGCAAGAATACGTCGAGGATTCGAGCCAAGAGCCACGATACGAACAAGATTCAAATGAGCAATATCGTTATGACCAAGGTATATCATACGAGGGAGTTAATAACGAGGAGTACGAGAGGTACGCCGCACAAGGATACGCTCAAGAGGGACAGGAATATGTCGAATACGTGGATGGTCAGTACGAGCAATATCCTGAAGATCCCAATAATCCACAATATCAACATGATCCTAACGCGCAATACGAGCAGGATCCGAATCAAGCATACGATTATAATTACGACCCCAATCAAGGATACGGGGATGATCCTAATCAGCAATACGACCCCAATCAAGGATACGAGAACAATTCTGGTAATCAGGCATACGATTATACCGAACAAGTTTCTTACGATCCTAATCAGGTGTACGATAATACATACGAGCAGGAAGAACAGCATAATCCTGATAATAATGTTGTCGTCGAAAATCCTGAAAAAGAACCGGAAACGGAAGAAACCTCGCAGAGACAGGCAAATCCGGAATCGGAACACAAATCAAGCAGAGATGAAGATCCACAAAGCAGAGATGAAGATCCGCAAAGCAGAGATGAAGATCCGCAAAGCAGAGATGAAGAACCTCAACAAGTAGACGCTGTTAGCGGAACGAAGAAGAAAGACGTGATTAAATCCTTGCTAGATTCTGACACAGATACGACAATCGAGAGAAACGTCTCGAACACGGAGAGTGATTTTGATTTTAATTAAAATGTACACATGCGTCTGGACGCAATGGAAAGACATTAAATTTGTATAAAGAGATAAAGGTAAACTGCAGTGATAAGATCCTATTAATAAAATCAAATGCATCAAAGAAGAACATAACTAAATTTATGTCGAGTTTCAACATCGATTTCACGAGAAGTGTCTCGGGTATGAACAGCGATCTTAATTGAAATGTGCAATGTTTCGAAGAAAGAATGCTAAGTTAAGTATAGATGAAGAAAAGTACAGCAATATTGTTAATGAGACAAGTCTGATTTAGAAGGACATGCTTTTTAATATCCTTGCTGAATTTCAATATGAATTTCACATTTATTTCGCGAGAAATGCCTGGAATATGGATAGCGAATTTACTTTTAATTAGAGCTTTAATTAAAGTCCAAGAATTGTAGCAAACGGCAAAAATAATTAATCTTGTTGGATTTCTGCTTTGAACATCTATCGTAAAATCATATTTACATATGTAGGTACAGAATAAACCCACATAGTATGCATATTCAAAAGACGTCCAGAAGATATCCCGAAAATCATCTTTAAACGATAGAATATCTTCGGGATGTCCTTTGAACATCTGTTGGATATACATACTATGTGAGAAGTGGAAAAATAAGATGCAAATATATTATTTTATCGACGCTTTAATATATATATTTTTGATTAATTACGGCAAAATTTGAATATAACTAATTATACGCATATGTGAAAAACTGCGCACCTGTACAATCATGAAAAGATTCATTCTTATTAAAAATGACACGGATCTAATTCTAAGCATCTACAGCTTTACATTGTAAGGATCAGTTATTATTAAAGATACCTATTAAATTTGAAAAAAAAATACATTGGGATAGAGTTTTTTGTATAGATAAGAAAAGATTACAATTAACCCAAAATTTTATAAGAGATTTTAAAAGATTATTATTAGCTAATAGATATGCAATAAATTAGCGAATATCACATTTGATGATATATCTATATTTACAATAATAATAATTAATCCATATATATCTTTCTCATTACGCTCTTTAGCATATATGTATATAGATATACAATATACATTATAATTAAACAGATATACAAATTTGTTCTCTTTCTAAGAACATAATTTTATAATATTTAATTCAAATTTAAAATTTAATTAAAATTTAATTCAAATTAAGGGTGCAAGTTTACGATCGATGATTGAAATCCATTAATTAGACTATTAAGTGTTTTTCAGTTTTTGCATGTAAAAGACATATGCGGCCTCGTGTCTCGTATAATTAGCGCAGCATGACGGCGACGGTCAGTCGCACAGTATGGATTTTCACGGAATCGACGGAAACGAGTCTGCGCCATTCGTGCGATTTTCGCAGCTGTGTCGCTCTTCTCGACCAACCACGCGCATCACACCACGGACGCAGTGCCGTAAGAGCCGCCGGTGAAGAGATCCTTCGTCCGTTTCATCGTAGATGTCCCGAGCTCCCGAGAAAGGTAGAAAAATCATACTTTCTTCCATAGAATTAGTTTCTCTCTCTCTCTTTTCGCTTTTCTGAAAATTACGGAATTGCGTAAAATTGTGCATTGTAGAATTAATTGTTTCGCAAGACATGATATATTATTAATAAATGGAACGAAAAAAAATGATACGAGATTTCCGTGATATATCAATCAACAATAAACGATCAAGAATTCGCGGAATCTTGTCGCAAAGTAGAATTACTTCTACTTAAGTTTTATTATGCATCGAATTTTTTCTCTGCATTGTAGTACATTATTGATTGAATCTAAAAAATCATAAATATGGAAAAAGAATCCCATTCGTATCAACAGACAAAACAAAACAATTTAAACAATTAAAGAGAAATATATTAACGCTCCCGCGTACACATACGTCACTTCGATATATCGAAGACCGCGACTCACGGCATGCGTCAGTGCACAATCACGATGACGCACAAGGTGTTACGCGCGGCGCGGCTAGTGGTTTTTATGACAGCTTTCTGGTGACAGAATCCGGACGTTTCTCCAATATATCGAGTGGCTATCTCGCGCGTTCGGAATCGAATCGTCACGACATTTATTTCGCGGTGAAACATCGCATATCTGCCTCGTCTCGACAAATTCATCGAATATTCGAATTAATCTGAGCGCGACGCCTATCAACGTGAACGTAACGCTATATCGTTCACGCTGCCGCGTCGCGATTGACGCGGGCAAGCGCGCGCGCGCGCGCGCCACCTCTCGCGATCCGCTCGCCTCTCATCGACGCGTCCGTTAGAGCCAGCTGTTCATCCGGAGTAGCGCGCGCGACGCATCCTCCTCCGTTCA